CCTCCTCCTCCTCCTCCTCCTCCTCCTCCCTCCTCCTCCTCCTACCTTCCTCCTTCCTCCTCCTCCCTCTTCCTCCTCCTCCTCTCCTCCATCCTCCTCTCCTCCACCTCTTCCTCCTCCTCCTCCTCCTCCTCCTCCTCATCCTCCCCCCCTCCTCTTCCGCATCCTCCCCCTCATCCTCCCCCTCCTCCTTCTCCTCCTCTGCCTCTTGCTCCTCCTCCTTGCCTTATTGCTATTCGTATCCCTCGTCGCCTGTTCCGTCTTCGTCTTCACGGTCGCCTTCGTCTTCGTATTCGTCTTCGGTTGCTGTATTCTCCTTACGACTAGTGTTCTTCTGTTTCGGGATATTATTTTTAGTGGTATTATTGATAATAAGATTCATGTTTCCTCCTCCTCCTCCTCCTCCGACTCCTCCTCCTTGTCATCCTCCTCGTCCCCCCCATCCTTTCTCCTCCTCCTCTTCCTCCTCTTCTTCCTCCTCCTCCTCCTTCCCTCCTCCTCCTTCATCCTCCCCTCCCCCTCCCCCTTCCCCCTTCCCCTTCCCCTTCCCCTCCTCCTCCTCCTCCTCCTCCTCCTCCTCCTCCTCCTCCAACCTCCTCCTCCTTCTCCTCCTCTTCCCCCGTCTTCTCCTCCTCCCCCTCCTGCTCATTATTCGTATACCTTTTCATGTTCGTAATACTATGTTTCGTCTTCGTATCCTGCTGACCCCGAGTTTCTTAGTCAGCGTCGGGGGGGAAGGGGGGGGGGCACCCCCGCTGGCAGCCCCACATCGACCCCCGTCGCGGGCAGCCACCGCACGCCGAAGGCGCTCGGACCCCCGTCGCGGCGCGACGAAAAGGCGAGGTTGACCCCCGTCGGGGTTCCCCCCCCCACGCTTTTTAAGAAACGCAAAGTGTGTTTAGTCGTATGAGAAGTCTTCGGCGTGTTCTTCTTCTTCTTCTTCGTCCTCCTCCTCCTCCTCCTTCCTCCCCTCCTCCCCCCCCTCCCCCTCTATTCGTTTTCCTCATAAATAGCTTCTCCCTGTCGCACCCCGAGGCCAGCTTGTTGGGCGGGCTGGGCGTTTCGCCTGGGTCGTCCTCACCACTTCTGACTCTGAAACTTCACATGTGGCAACCGTTTCACATGTGGCAACCGTTTCACATGTGGCAACCGTTTCAAACTGTGGCGCTCGCCTAAGCGCCGCGCACATTCGTTCTTAAACTTTGCACGAGTTTCACGGATTGAGGGCGCGCAATTTTCAACATGTGGCTCTTGCCTAAACGCCGCACGCAATCGTTCAAACCACATCTAAGAGCTTCACGGGTTGAGGGCGATCCATTTTCAAAATGTGGCTCTCGCCTTAACGGCGCCCGCATTCGTTTTCAACATGAACATCGTATCAGAAATCGTGTCGGAAGGATTCAGGAATATGCGGGTGCAAGAATTACCTTGGTTCGCGGTGCTGGCACATTCCAGGAATGGCGTTCTGGCACTGCTCAGGACCGCCAAGCTGCAACAATCAGGTTGATTCGTGGCGCTGGAATCCCGAGACCATTTTTTTTGGCATGCCTCACGATCTTCAAAATTGTTGTCTTCCAACGATCCAACGAGGCAGTTCCCTCAATGGAAATGAACCGCTGTAGGGGCGTACGAAGAGGGAGCTTGGAGGGGGGGTTATTAAAACATCAGTAGTGGCTCTTGGGTTTACACTGGTCCTCCTCCTCCTCCTCCTCCTCCTCCTCCTTCCTCCTTCTCCTCCTCCTCCCCCACCCCATACTCCCCCGTCCTCTTCCTCCCCCTCCTGCTCCCCCCTCCCCGTCTTTCTCCTCCTCCTCCTCATTCTCCGCCTCCCTCTCGCTCCCTCTCTCTCTCTCTCGTCCCACTCCTCCTCCTCCGCCTCCTCCTCCCCCTCCTCTTCCTCCTCCTCCTCATCGTCCGTAGCCATTTTGGCTCAAGCTAGCTCGGGCGCCTGGGCGAGGTGCGCTTCCCTCCCCGCGGCCGCCCAGGCGATGGTGGCTACGCACCTGGCGGCGGCGGCGGCGCGCGCGGCGGCAGGCGCGTGCAGGGCCGCGGCGGCGAGCGCCCGCGCCGAGGGCTCAACGGCCGCCTGCGCCACGCTCGTGGCGGCCGCGTCGAGCTGCGACGCCGTGGAGGCGCACCTCCTCGCTGCAGCGGGGCGCGCGCGCGCCGGCGCCGACGGCCTCGCCCCGCGGCAGGCGGCTGCCGAGGAGGAACTGCGGCTCCAGGCAGTGACCGAGGCCGCCACCGGCGCCTGGCCCCACAGCGCAGGCGCGGTGGCGCGCGGCCTCCATGGCTGTGGCCTCCCTGTTGCTGCCATGGCGGCGCGGCGGGTCGGGCGGCGCGGAGGCCAAGGGCGCCATGGCAGGGCCCCGCCCGCGACGCCCGCGCTGGAGGTGGCCCGGGATGCTGCGCTGGCGGCGGCGGCGGTCGGGGCCATGCGGACCGAGGAGACGTCCACCGACGCGCCGAGCAGCAGAGACTCCCACTCCGAGGACGCGTCGGAGCAGCCAAACGCCCTGAGCGTGAAGGGGGCGAAGAAGGACATCAAGGGCGCCCCAATCTGCACTGCCACTGAGGAGCTCAAGGAGACAATCTCGCTTCAGCCAGTTGCGAAGCAGATGGGGAAGCGGATAAAGAAGGCCAGCGACCACGCCCCAGACAGCAAGGCCACCGAGGAGGCGAAGGAGCTGGTCTCGGCCATGAGCGACGGGGATGTGCTGGTCCAGGAGAACACTCGCTTCTACAAAGGGAAGTCCCTGCACGACCCCGACAAGAATGAGGAGCAGATGAAGAATGACATCTTGTGCGACCCAGGCTGCCAGTCCACCAACGAGGTGCAGGAGAGGATCGCGGCCATGTGCGACGGGGACGTCCTGATCCTGAAGAACACTCGGTTCTACAAGGGAGTGACCAAGAACGACCCCGAGAAGCAGGACCACCTGACGAAGAAGAACGATGGGGACGTCCTGGTCCTGTTGCACGATGGCCCCGAGGAGAAGCAGGTGATGAAGTGCGAGACGCCCTCGGAGGTCAAGCTCAAGGAGCCGCACCCCGAGGACGGCGACAAGCAGAAGATCGGGGACGTGGTGCAGGAGGGCATCGACAACCCCATCCTGATGAAGACGGAGGTCCACGCCAACGACAGGTACGCCCTCGGCGACTCCGAAAGCACGGGCGAGCTGATGAAGAAGTACATCAAGTGCGACCCACACTGCAACGCCACCGAGGAGCAGGAGGAAGCCGTGTCGGCCTCGAGCGACGGCAACGAG